TTTCCTTGTTTTATCATTTCAATGGTACTTTTCAATATTAAAATTTTATCATTCTTATCTCTATAGTTTTTGGCCTGCTTGTTCCTATAAAATGAGTTGTGCGATTTAGCAAAACATTTGGGCACAAAGTAACTTTAAAAATGGTTTTCTTATATCACATTTATAAGAATATTATAATTACCATAAAAACTTCAAGACTGTTGAGTAAGATAAAATTACAACAAATGGGATTTTATCCATGAATAGTAGCATACAAATTTTGTCTATTATATCTGATGTCTGCTAAACCAATGTTCATTAAATCTAGGGCAATGTGTCAAAGATGACACACAACAATATTTTGAGTCACATGCCAGCATTTACCAACAACCAACAACTATTCTGATTTTATTGAGATTTATTATAATATATACACAATGAAAATAACGATTAAAAGAGGTGCAGGATAAAAAAGGAAAAAAAGCATTGACTTTCAACTCTTTCCAATACAGTGAAATACTATGATTATAACCTCCAGTTTTTGGATTCCATTTAGTTATTAAAGGCTATTTCAATAGCTATACAATTATTCAACCTTCAATATAAAGTCTTGTTTCTTTTTTATTATTTCCTTTGGAAACAATTTTCCAATGGAAACAGGACCAAATAAAATCTTTCTTTAAAACAATTTACATTGCCATCTCAACCAGATTCATTTTTCCTCCATCTATTTTTCCTATTGTGAGAAATAGTATTTTTATTTGCACTTATTAGATTGTCTGCACTATCATCATATATAGTAGCAAAATTCTTTTAGATTCTTTCACCAACAGTCATAAAGGGAAAAAAAACTGATTCCAATTTTGTGTTCTTTTTAAAACTCGAAACATTTCTTTAAAATAATCATCTTTATAGTTACATTATAATCCCTTATTGACTTCCCATTGCTCAACTATAAAAAAGATAGAAAAACCCTTTCCTTTTTCGTTTAAACATACATTTTAAGTTCTATTATTCTCGACTATTCTTGGCTATATAGCTATTCCCAAAATCATGCCCCATTCTTGTGTAATTTGTAGAGGCTGCAAAGGCCACACAAATGGTGTTTGCTCTTGTGCAGCCTCTGGCCCTTCTGGAAGTCACACAAGAGGGCTGTGTTCTCTTGTGTGACTGGCCTTCGGAGTTTTGGAAATCAGAGAACAGGATCTGTTTTTCTATGGATTTTGGAGGCTGCAGAGGCCATGGGAAAGCATTCTCCAAAGCTGCTTCAAGAACAAAGGTCTGGTGCAACCTGGAGCAGAGCCTTGGGTAAACCACAGCGGTTGGTCAACATAAAGACGACACTACCTGAACATAAGCATTGAACCCTGGTTCTTAGGGACACTGGACCATTGGACAATCACACAGTGGGATATAGCACAAAGTGGCCTTTTTCAGTAGTGGTGATACTAGGGTGAAAGTCGAGACTCAGGCCTCTACTTCAGGCCCAGCCTTGGTTTTACCAAGTGCTGCTGTTCAAGGTGGCACGGAAAGGGGAAAGATAGAAAATTGTTTCTCTTCTATTCAGTGTGTGTGTAAGAGAGAGTGTGTGAGTGAGTGAGTGAGTGTGTGTGTGTGTGTGTGAGAGAGAGAGAGAGAGAGAAACAGACAGACAGACAGACAATCAAAGTAAAGTTTGGCACTTTGATTTTTTGACATGCCAAATCCAAAAGGTATGCCATTACTGATCTAGTGAGTCCTGCCAAATTTAAATTTATATATATAAGTGGAATATTAACAAGATACTACCACAACCAGTGCCAAGGAAGCAATTAGGAAAAAAGGGCTTCTTCCCAAAAACAGAAACTTCACACTGAGAATTTTTTTAAAAAAATAACCAAGGTATACAATAATTGTGAAATTATCAAACTATTTTTCAATCTTCACAACTTTAAAATGTGTGGACTTCAACTCCCAGAATTCTCTAGCTAGCATGTTGACTGTGGGAACTGTCAGAGTTGAAGTTCACACATCTTAAAGTTATCAGGACTGAGAAACGCTGATCTACAGAACTAAAGGGAAAAAAATAAGATGTTGTGAAATATCACACTAATATTAATATTATTTAATAAATCAAAAGCAGAAAATCTTGTAGTATAACTGGTTGGCAAAGGAATTCTAAAGGAAAATAAAGATGTAGGGAAACTAAATTTCATTTTGTTTTCACTGTAAATCCGTGCTGTAATAGATATTTTTGAGATGAGTCTTAGGAATAGTACCATTGAGAGGGCACCGAGGCTATCTAAACCAAATACTTACAAAAAATTGGAGTTCAAATTAAAGCACACAAAGATTCTGTTTCAATATCTCCTATGAATAAAAGCTCATAATTTCTTAAAGTAATTGATCCCATTATTCAAATCCTTCATTAAGAAATATTTTCTAAAATTAAAAAAAAAAATCTGTCTTCCTACAATTTAGGATTATTAGTCCACCATCTGCTGGGATGACAAAGGAGGAGTTTGAACCTGTAACAACCTCCCTCAAACTTCTATTCTTAAAGTTACACACACACAGTTTCCACAAACCTTCCTACTGACCTTAATCTATTCAGATTAATTTGAATCTTCTTAAAGTGTTTTGCCCAAAATTGAACGCAGTATTCTAGGTCATATCAACAAGTATAGAGTAAAATATTTTCTATTAATTGGAAAGTATTTTTTGCAGTCTAATGTCAAGTACACATTTTATCACAGCATTCAGCTTGTAATCAATTATAATTTCAAGCTCTTTAATATAAATTCTGTTGCTAAGTATTCTAATTATGTATTAGATTTCCCTCCCCCCAAAGCAAAAAAATTCTAAGGTTTAACAGAGGTAAGTGCAAATGTTATTTTCAATTAATTTCTTCAAACTGTTAAGTTTGATATTTTCTAGGGTAGTTCTACTATCCCATTTCTAGTAATCTGCAAATGTTATAAGCATACATTTCAGTTTCTCTTCCATGTCATTAATATACAGTAATAGGCCCCAAACCCAAACTTGTTCTTGTTGTGTCCTCCAGTTTGAAACATGAATCAGATATAAGCACTTTTTGAATGCCATTTTTAAGCCAGTGGGTGATATATAGTCCAATATTTTAGGGAGACTAATGTTTGTCTCTTCTTTTACTTTCCCTCTTAAAACAAACATTTATGAATTCAAATACATTCATCTCCTATACAGATGTATTCATAATTTATAGTAAAAAATATTTGTTAGATTTAGATATACTGAATGGGTTTTATTTTTGTTAATACAAATAAACATATCTGGAAGTACTAATAATTAAAATTATGTCTGGATAAAATCCATACAGCCTCAGTTATTATCTGTAGTAAATGCATATTTGCTGTTGGTTTTAAACAAACAATTTTGATTTGCAGAATTTAGCTGATCAAAAAAGATAATGATTTCAGAAAAAAGCAACAACTACCAATAATGGGTTATCATAAATACCAGCTTTGTTTAATAGCTGTTTGGCACTTAGTCACTTAGATGACATGGGAGGTACAGAAATATAATAAATGAACCTACAGATGGAGAATTTCCTATTTAACCAGTCAGAAATTTCCCAAGTATCCTGGTAACACTACTATCTGTAAGAGGATGATTCTATGAAAAATCTCAATAGCTTTTGCTATATAGCAAAACAACTAGCTCATTCATCCAGTCCCAATAAGTCCCAACCAGAAACAAAAATCTTTCTTAGTTTTATAATTAACAAGGTCTGAAAGCTTGAACTCAAAATAACCTAACAGAGCCAGGGGAGGATGGGAAAGAACATGGATTGAACATGGATTTTGAATTTTGTAGTATTTAATTGAAAAAAATGCTAATCTTTAGGCCTATCTTAACTCAGGCATATGATTTTAGTACTGCATTTACAAGGAAAAGAAAAATATCATCAAAAGGATGCAAGTTATCTTTTAAAAAAGCAAAACTGAGGAGGGGGAGATATGAGTAAACAATTGTACAATGTTTCTTCAAAAACAGTTCTATGGAAAGCCTAACTTTCCAATTTGTTTACTGATTCTTTCAAAGTGAAGGAACCTGCTTTTATGGATCAATTTACGATACAGTATTTTAGCCTGGCAAAGAAAATTCAAAAACAGCAAAGAAAAAAAAAGGTGGATATAACTTTCCTCGGTATGTTATTTCAAACATGCACTGCCTGCAATGCACTTTACATCACTCCTAAAGCTTCACATTATACAGGTAGTCCTTGACTTACAACAGTTCATTTAGTGACTGTTCAAAGTTACAACAGTGCTGAAAAAAGTCTTGTGACTGTTTTTCACATGACTATTGCAGCATTTTCAGTCGTGATCAAAATTCAGTTGCAAATGACTCATATTTATGATGGTTGCAGTGTCCCAGGGCAACGTGATCACCTTTTGCAACCTTCTGACAAGCAAAGTCAATGGGGAAACCAGGTTCGCTTAATACCCATATTACTAACTTAACAATTGTGGTGATTCACTTAACAATTGTGGCAAGAAAGGTCATAAAATGGGGCAAAATTCACTTAACAAATGTTTCACTTGGCAACAGAAATTTTGGGCTCAATCGTGGACATAAGTGGACTACCTGATAGGTCCATCAAGTGAAACCAATGAAATTGAAAGCTTTTCACACTCTCCCTGGATCTTTTCCTTAATAATCTGGCATTTTTCCACACAGCTGAATGCCCCAAGTGACAATATTTAGGTTTTCCAGCCAACCTACTTCAAAACTATGCTGGCTGGTGATTATGGTAGTCCAAAACATTAACCCAGGTAGAATTTATGCACACTTTGATACCTTAGTTAGAAATAGCCATGTTTTTTTACACCACCCTGAGTTTCATAACTGGGTGGCACTGAAATGTGTTAAATAGATAATTAAGTTCAGTATTTGTCCAAGACAGAAGCAGAAGCTGGATTTCCAACTTTCCGAGCCCTGGAAAAAAGGGCAGTGAGATATACACCCGCAAGCAGCTAATCTAAGATTCCAATCCTTACCTGCAAAGATCTGCAAAGGCTTGGAAATTGAGCTTCTTGATTTTCTTCTCGCTCAGCCAATAACCAACCCTTTTCCCTTTCAAGAAGGTCTGCATCGTGTTACCACTTCAGCAGAGCATGCCGTTCTTCTGAAAATAGAAGAATCAGGAAGGACCCCCGCTCGCCAAGGATGCCGACACCTACTCCGAAGTAATTACGGCAGTTAAGAGGACACCCTTTCAGTTTCCAAAAAAAGCCTCGAACTAGGAAAAAAGCGAAGAGGGGGCCCAGTTCTTCAGCATTTCACCAAGAGGCGGCTTTGGGGGAAAGCAACCACGAGCCTTGGCCGAAGCGGAGAGGTAGGGATGGAAGAGAAGAGGAACCTCTCAGCAGCCATCCGGAAACTTCCTCACGCCACCAACCGGCATGGCCGAGGCGAGGGAGGCAAAGGAGCGAGCGGAGGGCGGGCGGGCTAGCAGCAGTAAGTTCGGTGCAACCTTTTTCTGCAGGCCCTCCGAGAGACTCGGCGAATCCGGAAAGGTTCCGAGCACCGGCGGAGGGAGAGCTTTCCCTTCCTCTGCCCGGGCGAGGGAATAGATAGGAGGTAACGACGGCACGGCTAGGCTTTTCTGGGAGAACCGCCGTCTGAAGCAGAGGCGGCGGCACTTCAGAGTTTATAAGCCAGAGCCCCGGCTGGGTTGGGCAACGAAAGGGACGAATCGAAGTCGCTCGCCCGTTCAACTCCTTCCTCCGGAGCTCTCGCAGCCTTTCAGAGCTCCATTTGCCCGCTATTCTCTGCCGCCTCTACTTCCTCCTCCTCCCGCCTCCGCCGCCGGTCTCCTCCTCTCTCCACCTCCGACACCGAGGGGAGGGGGCTCGAGAACACACCCTCCTCGCCGCCGCCACCGCCGCTGCTATGGCACCCGCGTGCGGAGGCGCTTGCCCGCGAAAGGCACCGCCGCCTCTCCTGCACAGGAGCGGCGACTCGTCCCTTATTGTCATCTCCGTGAGGAAAGGGGGGGGGGGGTAATCGAAGTTGCCTGCCAGGTTTTGAAGGCTGCAGAGAGCGAGGTTGTTGATTTCGGCGAGCTGATCCCTTAGCGTGCTGCTCCGCTTACTCGGAAGCAAGCCCCGCAGGATAACACGGTTTACTCCCGTGTAAATAAACGGCCTTTATTAAAAAAACCCCGCGCTGCTCCCGGGGCGTCCGCTTGGAGTGCTACCAAGCTAAAGGCGTGAGGCAGCTGTTCCACGAATCTTCCATTAAGACGTTTTATTTGGAAAAAAGGAAAGGAGGTGGAGGAAAACCGGGGAGAAAAGACGGAAAGGCTCCCCAAGAAGGATGGTCTTATCTGGACCTTTGGGTCAATTGGGCAAACAAAAACCTGGTATGGAACGGAAAAAAATGGTGTGCCTTCTCTAATCCCCACTTTTCAGATTGGGCTGGAGGTTCAGGTTCCCTACTCCCTTTTTGGGTACTGTAAGAGATCTGTTTGTGTTGATAGTATTACAAGTAAGAGCATTCTAATAAAATCCAGAAAAGTCATCCTTCATCATTTTCTGAAAACGAGGTAAAGCGGCAGAGAACTCAACCTTGAATTCCCTTTCCTTCTAAGAGCAAAGACAAGGATAAGAGAAAAATATGTGTTCTTTGTTTCTTGTTTTGTCTTTTCTCTCCTTTCATGGAGACACCATTTAAAGTTTGGGCATTACATAAAAAAACCTTCTCAAAACTAATGTCATTCAGTAGCCTTGGAGTACAGACTATATAAATCTACACATCCTGGTTGGAGGTTTGTAGTCCAAGACACTTGAAGGGCACTATGATGGACAAGTCTAAGATTACAACTGACTTTAGATACCATTATAAATCGTCATTTGCTTAAATACGTCTTAATAGATAATAATTGGCTGATTTCCTACAACAAGCTAAGTAATTACAGCAGCTGGGTGCACACAACTGAGTATGTCAAAAGTAAGCTCATCATGTTATGACTAAATTTGATGTGTGACTCCAACCAGAAGGAAATTAGAACACACAATTATGCCAGAGCTGACGAATTTGGTATAAATCCCAATTCCAGATCTCCAAAACAATGGCTATTTTGAGGTGAAACACTATAACAAAACAAAACATGCTTAAATGCAAATACCCTGGGGGATAAAATGATGATGACCATGTAACCAACAGACTCCCAGCTTTATCATTTAAAGTATCATATAACACAGAACGCTGTTCTTATGGCCAGGCCACGTGTATCTAGGACCTTGGACTTTGTAGCCACATTGGCTGGGTGGAGGGAACAACCCTATAATAGTTATTATACGCTATGTATTATATAATGTAAGCAGAAGGCAGCTATTGTAAAAGCATATAATTTTGCAAAGCCTCTCTATTATACCATTCTTTTATTTATTTGAAAATATATGCTTGTACCAGGCCAAAAGCCAAAAATAAGCATATGCTCAAAGTTAATTCACAATGAATTGTTGGGATTTTTTTGAAGCCATGATTATCAAATAGTAGTTAGTATGATGAACTAACAATTTTTGCTTAACCATAGTTTTCGCTTGTGGACATAAATTTTTCAGCCAAACCTATCTAAACATATTCTCTCTTCATGTTTCTTGGGCAAAATGTATAAGAGGGTAATAAATACAGACCACACTCACATGATAGAATAAGAGAGTGCAAAAATATACAAAGCCTTTTTAGACAGTCATATATGCACAGTTTTTAAAACACTTGCAAATGCTACATGAGTTAGTGGTAGAACATGTACTTGGGTTTAAATCTCATTAAATTGAAATGACTGAAATATTTACATAATGACAAAGGCCTTTCCAATCAAAGAAATATTGCCAATCATACTAGATAATACTGGATCAATAGGCAGATAAACATAGCTTCTTATTAGGGTTAGTAGACAAATATTAGCGTACTCTATAATTCTTGTTTTCTGAACATATGCACAAACTGATATCAGCCATCTAATTTTCCCAATTGTGAGATGCATTTCGCAAAGAAAAAAAATGAGAAAGCTAGATTTTGAAGGATCAAAAATTGAGATAAGGATTGGAGAAAGAACATCAATAATCTTTGATATGCTTTGATGGTACAACTCTCAGAAAACAAAGATGGCCTGGAACATCTGGTCAAGGAAATCAAAGAAGAAAGTGAGAATTTTGGCCTCTTTCTGAACATCAAAAAGACCAAGCTCATGATCACGGAATGGAAACATCAAAATAGAAACTAGCGATGAAGAGAGAGAATGCATGGAAAAAATCATTTTCCTAGAATGGCAGATTGCTCAAAGTGGTGAATGCAGTCCAGAAATAAAATGTCAGATTGCACTGCATGATGAACATGAGCTGAATGTGGAAAAGCAAGGGCATCAGTGTGGCAACCAAATGTAATGTGTTCCCCATAGCCACCTATGGTTGTGAAAATTGGAACTTAAAAAAGTAAGACAGGAAGAAAATGGACTTGTTTGAACTATGGTGCTGGAGAAGGCTCCTGTGTATTCCTTAGACAGCAAAGGTGACTAGCAAATAGTGGAGTGCATAACATCAGACATGTAACTGGAAGGCAAAATCACAAAACTGTGTCTCACTTATTTTGGCCATGTCATGCGGGGGAATTCACTGGAGAAAGCAATTATCTTTGGAAGAGTTAGTGATAAAAGGAAATCAGACCACCAAAGTACACGGTGGCTGGATACCATCAATGCTGACACCAGTCAGCGCATAGAAAAATTCAAAGAAGTATTGCAAGATCAGAAGGTGTGAAGAGACTTGGCCCATAGAATCGTGAAGAATCGGATGTGGCTGAATGGATAACATCATCATCATTGTCATCATGTTGGTGAAAATAAAATACAACAATTCTATTGGGGAGAAAATGTAAAAAAATGTGCAAAGTATAATAAAAATGTGCCGGTTTGGAAATGTTTGCACATTTTGATGCAAAAAAATTCACAATCTGACAGAGCAAAAAGAACGAACAAACAGCTCTGAAGTCAAGCAAATTAGAAACTGGGTGAAACCAAACTACAAAATGTGTATTTCTGTACCATTAGTGTTTCTTCTCCTTCTAATACCTTACTAAAACTGATCTGCTTTCATCTTCACTTCTGTCAATCTCAACATACAGAGAACACCATGAACCAACCAGTGCTCAGCCTTTCCCTTCAGAAACTAACAAAAAATACATCATTCAATTGGTATGTCCCCTGGATGTCACAACCATGACATAACAAAACTCCATTCTTTCCACACAAAAAGGGTATAATTGCAATGATTTATGAAATTGATCATAGAATTTGCCTTCAAAAACTCAGAGGCTGCGGGGGGGGGGGGGAATCATCCACAAGAAGATTAATTGTAAAACAAGTTTTTGAAAGCCCCTTTAAAGTGTCCTAGTTATTTTGGCACCATTTCTTTTCTTACACTTAAAAGTCTTTGGATTTGTAAAAATGAAATTATAGAGTATTGATATATTTTCAGTTAGGCACTTTTCATAATGGTTATGAAAATTGTATGTTGTCATAATGGCTGGATTGGTGTTTGAGAAAGATAAGTGATGAAGTCACTGGAAGCTCCAGGAATCAGATATGGAGTATCTAGATGATGGGGCTGAGCAGGGTGGAGGGAAAGGAATAGTAATGATGACTGGAGGAGGAGTGAGGCAAAAGTTCCTGTCAAAAGTTCCTGCTCATCCTCACATCTGCAGTCACTATAGTTACTGTAAACAACAGTAAAAACAAAAGCAGCTCTCCCCTCCCCCAAATGAAATTGTGACATCAGGTCCAAACAAGATGCCCAAGACGTACAAGATAGTGGCGTAGGTATGTCCAATTTCACCTATCCTTATTTCCACTTCTTTTAATGGTCACGCTGCTAGTATGAAGCTGTTTGAAATTCACCTCCACTTTGACTTTGAGAGACCCAAGATCTTTTTAATAAGCATAGATAATTGACTTTTTTATTGGAAGATTGCTCAGTTGGGACTTGGAGAATTAAAATATATGCCAATAAAATAGGAAGCAAGCCCTAACAATTGGTTTCCGTTGGACCTGTCCAGCCCCCTTTGTCTAACTTTCCCCTCTGCCTGGAGTGTGTGTTTTTTCCGCAAGCGGACAAGTGGAGGAAAGTGATGAATCCAAGGTTTATAAGGGACAAAACAAAACAAGACAGACAGAATATGTTGTGGCTATTTTATGGCCTTCTTGATGGAGACCTTGGAAAGCTTGGTCTCCCAGTTTACAGTTTATGTGGATAACGAAATTAAATATTTCTCACTTTCTGTAACCCACAGGGTTGCCCTTCCATCTGTTCCCCCTTCATGTAACTGCAGGTTCTTTCTGCACTTCAAGGAGCAGGAAATACGTTTTTTTTTAAATCCTGATGACTCACCAGATTGGGTGTGACTTAACTAAGTCTTCCCTGCTATTTAAAAAAGGTAGCAAAGGTCGGCTTATAGGGGAAACTTGAGAGTATGAACAGGAAAGCTTAATGGAGAAATGTCGTAATATCTTTGCTCCAAGTATAGTAAGCAATGATGCTGCTATTGTTTGCAATAACTGGAAAATCAAAGCCTAAGGGGTAGTTTTGCTCTTAGGCAAAGCATGACGCTTACTTATGGTATTTATACATAAATTCCCGAAAATGGGAGTGTGAAAATGCAGGTCCTTGTTACTGCTCTAGATGACACTTGCTAACAAGGAAGGAAGGAAGCAGCTGCACTCCTTCGTTATCCTGATTAAATTAGCACACTGATTTTGCAAATTAGGAAAATTACAGCCCAGAACCAATTAACTGGAAACAGAAGATGTTGTTCACCTACACAGCATTGGGC